TTTATATCATTTTATAGTTTATATTCTGTCGTTTACCGAAATGAATCAATATAATGACATTTTTTCAGACACAATTCATCCGAGTTTTCTAGTTTATTCTTGACAAGATTGTGTAGGTAAATGATGATAATGATGAATGATCCGCCCTAACATACAAAGAGAAGTAGGTTTTCTTTTATGTTTACACAAGCATTTTACAATCATGCTCAAAAAAGTCATCATATTTTGTCTTCGTTCCGTCGAAGTCCAAAGTCCAGGTTGATATTTTAAGCAATGGCGATTAACTACATGCAAAAAATTACTGCAAACAGGCCGCCAAAGGTATTTGAAGCAAACGTACACAAAAACACCAATCGTTACGCAATATGATAAAAAAATAAATAGAACAGCGTAAAAACAATTGTATTTTTGAGCGTTTGATTAGGTTAGCACTATGTTTCAATATTATCTGTAATACACTGTACAAGAAAATCGTTTAAAAAAAATGTTATCCTAATAGACAAATTATTATTTAATATACAAGTGAATATTCCTATGTTACTGCGAAATACTATCGGGTCAGCGTTTGACGGTTGACCTTGTCTTAAATGAATAGGTAGGTCTAACTTGCCAAACAAGTTTTTATACTGCCATGATGTATAACAAAGCAACAAATTATAGGTTACCTAAGTTATTTACTATTTATAAAAACAGATCATATTATACAAATTTCTACATACTGCTAATGCTTTCAACAGATTTTATTGTTAGATAAAATAGATCGAAAGCCAAAATAGTTTCTTTTCTCTTAGTCTATGGTTAGTATATAAGTTCTAACAAAAAATACACGATAGGGCATCGAATCATCGGCTCTATATGAAGTCTTGGATGTTGGCTGACATGGTGACAGAATCTTTTTTTTAATAAAACATTTTAACGGTTTAAATGCGGTATATATTAGTCAAACTTATTTGAAATTTATTTTAACTTACAGCCCGACGTTTCGGATGCTTTGCAACAGCCGTAGTCATGGGAACGAAACGGCGAACGAAATAAACTTCCATATAAGTTGAACTAATATATATCGCTTTTTAAACAGCTGAAATGTTTTATTTAAATGTCAACTCGCCGTAAACTACAGACAGTACAAAATCGTTTTCTCATTCTAGGGAAGTATTTCTGAGAAAAAGTATTGTCTATGCTCGGAAACCGAATCCAGAACTCGTGCTAAATACAAGCAACACGTTATCGACCCAAGTGCGGTCATAAAAGTGGTTTAAAAACTTCATGTAGTTTCTTATTGTTTTATTTGTAGCCTATTTGTGGTTAGGTATATTAAAAAATACAATAAACACACTTTATAGTCTAATTATATATCTGTAGATGTTATAGTGATGCGGTTTCTTGGTTTATTATTCATAGAAAATCCTGCGATGATAAATATACTCACGTAAGTTATCATTGATCTTAGCAGAAGACTTTGATCGTAACTATATGTGATTTCTGCATGGTGCAATTTCAAAAGCCAGATTAAAAACTAAAACTTATAGATAGACAGCTAAGAAACCTTACAAAATTTGAATAATTATATCTCAGCACAATAAGATATCCATTATAAAAATTAATTATAACATTATTTCTATAAGTACATACATTGTACAACACAAACATTTTTTTAACGTCTTTATAAGTTTAAATGTTGTAATATACGCGAGTAGTACATGTTTAAATGAAACCACTTTAGCTGTTTAAAACGCGATATATATTAGTTAGAATTATTTGATTATCTCCCCGTCGCCAGGGCTGCTGCAAAGCATCCGAAACGTCGGACCGTAGACAAAAATAACTTTCAGATAAGTTTAACATCTAATATATATTAGGTTTTATAAGTTTGTTGCACCAGTCTTTTTTCTTTTTGAAATCGTATTATTATTGTAGTATATTTTTGGATACATTTTTATGGTCTGCCAATCGGGAGTACTACTACTATAAAATAAATACATTAGAGTTATTTTTATATCGAAATGGCATTTTTTTAGCTAACACCTATAGTTTATTTAGGAAGTCCTACAGGATTATTTATGCTTATATTTCTATAGACCCTACCTCAATAATCAGTCAACACCTTCGTTTATAATTAGGGTTGACAATTTTTTATTGTGATGGTTTTGTTTTGTTTACGAGGTAACTTCCAATATGTTATATATTAATATCCACATTACTTCATGTGACCAGATTTAAAGTTGACTATTATTTATTTTTAACTACGATCCGACGTTTCTAATGCTTTGCAACAGGCACGGCTTCTTATCTAACGACTACCTGTGTCAGCGACATCGTCCGCGAGAATTGTTATTTTGGGCTTGCAAATTCGTTTTTTAAACCCCTTAACTTTTTTGAACTGTTACACACGACGTCGGTCGCGTTTTCCATTTTTTTTTTACATTTCTCCCTGTATCTTCGCTCGTATTAGTCAATGGGAGACGTTTAAGTAGCCTTCCTCTATAAATGCTCTAACCGACACAAAAAAAAAATTCAATTTTAACCCGTAGTTCCTGAGATTAGCGCAGTCAAACATACAAACAAACAAAAAATCTCTTCAGATTTATATATTAGTATAGATTAATCACTTAAATCATAGCCAACATTTATTTTTCAATTTTTAAAACATCATAACGTTTTAATATAATACTGTGTACTTAATGTTAATGTATGCACAAACAGTTGAAATCGTTTTTATTAATAAATTGCTTAAAAACCGCAAACTTTCAAGCCCTACTTAAATATTAAAAATGATTTAAAATACGAAAATGTTATAAAAGTAATAATATTTTCCAGCTGCAAGTATTTATATGTGAATAGTGTTTTTTTATAGTTTTTAAAATGTTACCACATAAAACTTATTGTATAATAAAGCAATCAGTATATGTTTACAAACGGACAAACGTATAGAGATCAAAAATTAACTATTTATAATTCTTCCAAAATATAACTATGTATATGTTAGTTCTATTTTGGAAGAATTATAGGGCTGAAAATATCGTAAATATAAAACGTAATAAAATATATTAACATTTTTTCAAATACAGCTATTGCCAATTTCATTTTGTATCTCTACCAATTTCTAGCATTATACAAAACTTCCTTGGTTACTTGGTAACTCATATTGATGTTTAAAATTATATTATTCAAGATGTACGCAACCCTACGGCTGACTCTTATTATCATGTACGGTCAAGGATGATTCATTCACAACAAAATATCTTTAAAACGACCACGCTCCGTGTTACAACATTATATCTTCTTTGAATACAATACAATAATGTGATAAAACGTGAATTAATTTGTGTTATGTAAAGTGAAAAAATAATAATTTCTTTCGATTACTTTTAATAAATTTAAAGGTAAGAAATTACATAGTTAAAGCTATATACGTCGTATATAAATATTCATAAGGTATTGTATTTGTATTTGGTACCATTTGTGTGGTTCTAACAAAGTCAATACGACTTAAATATATAGAGTTTTTAAACGTTTTCAGTTAATGACTAAATAGGGGGTATTGTTGTATAAAAAAACCTATAATATATAAAATTATTTGGTTCACTTTGCAATGCGGACGAATCTCTATGAATTGGTTCTGTTAGATTTTGTTTTTTTTTTATAATACAAACAATATGGTGATGACCTATTAGAAAATTTGAAAGTTAACGAATTTCATCCATAAGATATTGTTATACGTAGAAGTAAAGAATGAGAATTCATTTTAGAATAATTCTCGTAACGTGATGCTAGTCCACTACAGTAATTGGTCCTAACTCGCAAGATACTATAACAGTCACTTTAAAAACATAGGATATCTGCAATTTTTTAATAAACTCGCTATTACAAAATATTGCAAACAAATTAGCCTTAGTTTCCTTAGATAAACAAGTATCCTATATAGTTTTTAAATTATCATTAAATTGTTTAATGATAAGAGACAAATAGTCGCAAACTGTTATTTATGTCTAAGATATATCTTATGCAATAATACTAACGTTTACTTTTAGGATTGAGACTTAGACTTTGCTCTATCTATAAATCACGATAACCATGTTTACATATTATTCTGTGCAGATATCAAACGCTGTAATGATAAAACGTGTATCACTTTGAAAATACTTTCATATAATCTTTTTCAAGCACCTGTACTCTTATTAATTAGATAATAAAATAGTATTAAGTAAGTTACATTTAAAACAGAGTATTGAATAACAACAGAAGTTCAAAATTGTAGGAAAAAGCCTACCGTTGTTTTCCCGCATACATTTGTCACAGTGTTTACTAGCTCTTTCAGACACTTTAAACTTTTACAGATACAACCATGTTGTGGGAAATCGCAGCCTGTGTTATTGTTATATATTTAATAAGGCATTATCTTTTGCCGACGTCCAACCATCACTTGGATAAATTGCCTGGACCTCCACGGTGGCCGCTCTTGGGCTCATCGTTGGAATTCATCGGCTACACTCAAGGTAACTGAAGTGAAACATAAGGCAGAAATATTTCTGTGTTCCATTCAGGAATCAAGTTTTTTTATTTAAGAACGTAATCATGGCCTGTAAGTAACGGACGGACATGTTAGTGTAAATTGTGACCCTTGCGTTGCTATTATGCAATATAAGGCTAATAAACAACGGCTAATGAGTTCGATCTGTACCAGGTTCATTATGGGTTTTAATAAATTTATAATTTTTCTGAACCATGTTGGACTTCATCTGGAAACCTTGATATAAAATGGGTGGAAGAAATATCGAAATTGCCTCAGGCTCAGGAACCATCATTCACAGATACTTGTCTGTCTCTCTCTATTATAAAAAAGTGAATCAACTTATATATATTCACTCTTTGCGCTGCTCAAAGTATTCTGGCATAGCACAGCGCGTCAAAATAAGTAATTTTGGCATTACGTGATTTCAAACATTTACACCAATTTTTGTTTTCCTGCACACAAACGTATACATACATGTCATTTGATTGTAACATTGCGATATTTTTCTTTATTAGCTTATTAAAAAATAAAAGACATAATTAAGAATAAGAACAAAGGGACCTTTACTACAATAGCTAAAAGATATAAACGTCGAAATTATTATCATTAATAAAATTTTGCGAATAAATAAGAGTATTAAAGTGGATAAATAGAGATTGAAACTTAATTAAGTAGTAATAGTAACAGAGTAAAGAATTCGGTAGAAGATACTTACATATTCAGTCGTTGTAATTAAATTAAATATATACTAGATCCTATTAAAAACTAGTTTCCTCATATAATTGTTATCAAGGTTTATCAACTACCACTGCATCATATCATTCAAGCTTGTAGAATCCAAATAGAACACAATATCTAACTATTAGGTTACCTTATTTTTAGTCGACGTATCTGATGGATCATCAGCGGAATATAACTCTCGTTTAAACCGTTAAAAGTATTTTATTTAATGTTTACTACTCGCAAACCATAACTTCAAAGCATGACCATAAGAGATTCTAGGAGTTGCGTTGCTGCTGCTGCTGCGGTGGGCTCGTGGGTCTAATGAAACCTGTTAGCTAGTCCACATTTAATTTAATAGTCGTGTCTAATCGCCTTTTGGTTTCAGTCTGTGGATTTCCAAATATTCCAAGCCAAATAGGTCGATAGCGTATCTTCTTTTGATGTTATATGGCTGGGCTATTTTACCTTTCATCAAATGAAGCTTGTCTTATCATCTTGCGTTAGCATAAAAATTAAAAAAAATCGTTATTGTTTCAGCCGAACTGTTTGATAAGTTGATGGAGTTCCCGAAGCTATATGGGAATCGTGTTTGTGTTAAAGTATTCGGTCGATACGTTCTACATTTGTATAACCCTAAGGATAATGAGGTATGAAATATTTAATTTTACTCACATGCTATTTAAATTTTAAAAAATGATTTTAGATGAATAAAATTACCGACACGGTCGCTCAATTGGTTAGTGCAACAGCACGGAACCTGCATTCCGTTCCTGGTTCCGTCCTGCGTCTCGTAACTCCGTCGTTTACTTTTAATTTATACCCTTCAGGCGGTACCTTGGTTATACTTTTTTTGTTTGTCTAATAAAACAAATAGAATATTTTCAGAATAATTAAGACAAACATAAGCAAACTCTATATAAATATCAGAAATAAATACAAATAAGGCACAAATTTATTTACTACCACAAGCCACACAGAACATATAAGTTCGATTACGAAATATAAACAATTAAGATTCGCATATAAAATAAAGAAGAATAAGTACTAAATACTGTGTATTGGTAGTTGGTAGAATAGGATCTAACTCAGCTTATACAGTTCCTTTGTTGACCTGAAACCGATTTTCATTAAGGGCTGTGTTATCACAATTGTGCGCTAAACACATTTTACTAACAGCTGTATTGTATGGAAATTATTATTTACAATGAAGAGTAATTATAAAAGTCTCTATTTACAGATTGTTTTATCACATTCTCGAAATATTACGAAGAATAAACCGTACGAGTTTATGAAACCTTGGCTGGGAACTGGATTGCTTTTGAGTACAGGTCGGTTACTAACTTATAGTTGATACTTGCCTGTTAATGAAATTGATCAATCATATTTTCGACTTAGGATTTTCTTTTCTGCCATTCGATTAAGATCTAGATTTCCAGACAATGTCCATATTTTGCAGAAAAAATATGAAATATTAGAAATGTCAAATATTGCATACATTGCTCCATATAGTAGAATCGGGGTTACTAATTTCACTTATCAAAATGTACATAAGGTGTAAATGAAGGACCGGGCTTAGTGTTATATTTTTTAATATCTGTTATATACGTTTTATAATATGTATTACTATTTGTCTCGTATTTTCTAAAACCTACCAAACAGGTAGCAAATGGCACAAACGCAGGAAGATCCTGACTCCAGCATTCCACTTTGAGATCCTCAAGAACTTCGCCCGGGTTTTCGAGGAGCAGAGTAGGAATATGGTTGAAGATATCAAGGGCAGGCTTAAAAGTGGCTCTGACATGGTAGACGTTATGCCCTTCATCAGTGACTACACGCTTTACACTATATGCGGTAAGAGACGCCAAATTTTCATAGTTATCAACAAAGCCTGAATGTTGCTTAAACCGAAATAAGTTAAGATTTGGTTCGAACGAAAATTTTATGTTTCAATGCAATAAGACATAACAGCTATATTACTTATTTTCTTTGGAATTGTCTTGATAAATATTTTAAAATTAAATTCCCCTTCTCAACCCTTTAAAAGTTCGAAGCTCTACGAAAACTAGAACATGTAAAACTTCCTTAAACATCAGGTGTACTTATACATTATTCAATTAAAAAGTGTTACGAAAGAATTAAAAACTTAAATGTCAATTTGTTTTCAAAGTAACCTTTGGCCATCTAATGCGTGGCGTTTGTAGTAGTTTTGTTTGTTTGTTGAAACTTGTCGATAAAAGGTGCGGCGGCGAGTTTCTTGAAAAAATTTAGGGCCTTTTGGGGAAAAAAAGGGGAAAAAAAATTTTTTTTTTTCCAGGGTTTTTTTTTTTTTTTTTTTTTTTTTTTGGAAAAGGGTGCGGCGGCGAGTTTCTTGCCAGTTCTTCTACGCCCTTGATTTGAGATCTGGTAGGAAATGTAAATTTAAAACCTTTAGTTTTTAACTGGTGTGACGTTCATGAGTATACCTAGTTACATACAATTGATTTTCGACTCTGTTTCAGAAACGGCAATGGGAACTCGCTTGAACTCGGGAGACACAGCCGCTAAAATAGAATATAAAGAATCAGTCTTAACTATCGGAAGCCTAATTATGACAAGATTAGCACGCTTTTGGCTGCACTTCGATTTTATATTTAACTACTTCTCAGCGACTGGCAAAGCTTTTAACGAGTGTTTGAGGAAACACTTTACGTTTACTGATAATGTGATTGAGGAGAGAAGGAAACAACTTCAAGTCAACACAAAGGAACAACAAGAGATCCACGGAAAGAAAAGATTGGCGCTACTAGATCTTCTTTTGGAATCAGAGAGCAGGGGAGAAATCGACGCCGAGGGAATTAGGGAGGAAGTCAACACGTTTATGTTTGAGGTAATGTTAAAAAGTAATTTCAGAATAATTTCTAGGTGAAACTAGGCGTCGAAAGTAGAGTAGCTTGTGCCTTTTATTTTATTTAATCAAGAATATTATATTGTCGAATATAAAAATAATAATTCAAGCGCTATTTATAATTTAAGTTTGATTTCAAACAAAAAAGAGAAATCTTTGTCTTGTCTATCTTCTACATCTACTCACTTTTTATAAAGTAAATAAATACATTATTGTACATATTTCGATAAACACATTAATTGACCGTACCCAATATTTATTCATGCGCCCATGTATAGACATTAGACAAGTATACAATTATTTAAACACACAATACCTATAAGAATCTACGTTACAGTTTTTGTAATCTCGTCGACTTTTGATAAAGCACTGCTGATGAACTCTACAAATGACTTTCCACAATATCATTTATTTTATCTGTGGCGTAGGTTTTATCTGTGGGAATCAATTGTGTATTGTATCCACAATTGTTTTTATTATTATTTTTTCCTCTAACTAAATAATAAATTTAGGGGCTCTACACAAACGAATTATTTCTAAAAAAATTCGAACATCTTGGAAAGCACCTGAATGTCAAAGTTCTTTTCGCTTCGATTAAAATGTTGTCAGAAGTAAATATTAACTTTTTGCATTTTCGATATGTTGAAATTTGTTGGTTATATTTTTGCATGAAGAGCTTAATTTATTGGTTATATTTATAACAAATATTAAAGTACTAAATGTGGTACAATATTAATTTATGACGCTATACAAACATGATAAATTAGTATTACTTTATTTTACACTTATAAATATAAATTTAGGAATTTTACTCTTTTAAGTCAAATCAGCGGTATAAACTCGACACTCCTATAAATCGTCAAACAACTTGTGATAATAGTTCGCAATTATAAATGTAGCCAAATAAGCAATAGTGACAGTTTACGGAAGGATTCACGGTAAATTGAAGTTTATTCAATGCGACGCGATTGAATTTTCTCCGCCATCAGCGCATCTACGCTTAACGTTAAATGGAATTTATACAAGACTTTTCCGCCAGAGAATCTGGAAAATTCTTAGAGTTCACGACTGTAATAGGGCACTTATCGTGTTGGGAAATTTTTAACTTAACTTTGAGATGTTCCGTCTGTTCCTTATTAGGTATACTTTTGCGCGCACTTTCACACGCGAAGTTCAATTAGTTTACTGGCGTCTTTTTAAAATGCATTCTATAAGTACTCTGTTGTTTACGCGAGTAGTATAGATTTTTAACGGCTAGAACGCGAACTTTTCTAGTAAATTTATTTACATGGAGAGTCTCAAAAGACAGACCATCTAGTTATGTGTCAATTTACATTTAAATGTATAGAATGGTAATTAAATTAGACGTACGAGTAAGGATATACGTGTACTTTTATATTGATATAGCTGATTATACCAAAATATTTAAGGAGTTAAGGACACACAACAGAGAACATCGGGTTTTGAGTTAGGAATAAAATATTTCAACAATATTTTTTTGCCTATTATAGGGTCATGACACAACGGCTATGGCACTGACCTTCGGCCTCATGTTGCTCGCTGACCACGAAGAAATTCAGGTAACATATTTATTTATTTATATTTATATATTATTTAATGCACAAATACATTAAACAAATACAAACATAAAAATATTACAAATTAAACTTATATACTAGAATGGAGAGCAATGGGCGGGCAATATTTTGCTAAGTATTAGGTCCGTTTAATATAAGTTGAAAGAATTCAATGAAAGAAGCTCAATTGGTTAGAGCAACAGCACAGAACTCTGATGCCGGTTCAAGTCTTGCCCGCTTCGTGGTTCTTCCAATGTATAATCGATTTTTAAATTAGAGTAATATTTTTGATTCAATTGCATATTTAAATTTTGAATTGGTGTTAATAAAAAAAATACTCAAAAGTTCTGCCCTGTCTATCTATTACCTTAAATACGTGAGGATATACTTTAAGCGATCTTAAGTATTAAAAGTATCACCGATATATACCGATGTCTGTTATATATTATTGTGTTCACAGGACCGTATTTATGAGGAATGTAAGACCATATTTGGCGATTCAGATAGAACAGCGAACACATCTGACCTGGCCGAAATGAAGTATTTGGAGGCTGTTATTAAGGAAAGCCTGAGAATATACCCTAGCGTACCGTTCATTGGACGTTTGATTACTGAAGACTTTTATTTAGGTTTGTCTTTCTCTTTTATTTTCTAGGACTAATCCTGGAAACATGATAGTTTCCACCGGGCACAATAATCGTTTATAGCATAAAAACCTTTCATATACTTTATTATTATTGATCTTCAAAAGATTTTCAGTTTGTTGTTACATGAGAATTACAATACCAGTAAATAAATTGGATCAGTCAAAGACGCATTTCGTCTGCAAATTTGTATATTAAATTGGAATATCTAAATTCCGATACGAGTCTCGAACCAACCTCTGCAGATGGAAAAGCTGTGAAGTTTAATCGCATTTCAGTTTTAGTGTGTGGATTTCCGATCCAAAGCCAAAATAAATCGATAGCGTGTCTTGTATAGATGTTATAAGACTGCAGAATTTCACCTTTTCTATCATAAAAAAAGAAATTATACGATAATAATGACATCTCGCTAGATTAATGGAAGAGACTTATTTACAGGCTTTAACTATTGCTTAATAATTAAAAGCGGCTCCACCAACATTGTAAATGTTGTCTTTTGTTTTAGATGACGTGCTAGTGACAAAAGGTTCAGAGGTTAATGTCCATATCTATGACATGCACCATCGTGAGGATCTGTTCCCCGAGCCAGAGGAGTTCCGCCCCGAAAGGTTCCTCAATGGAGACAAAATGCACTTCTCCTACGTGCCCTTCAGCGCTGGCCCGAGGAATTGTATAGGTAAAAAGAATACCAATATTCATCTATTTTATGATTATGGCATTCTAAACGTTATAGTGATGAATGACTAACTACGATTATAACTTTACACATTTTAAACGACTTGTATAAGTATATGCTTTTTATCTGAAATCAGTTTTAAAATGTTTTTATTTGACTTGGATTTAAGAAGGAAGAAAATAGTTATTACATGTTTTTTTTCACAAATATTGTAAATATTATATAGCTAAAAAGTTTGTTTGTTTGAACGCGCTAAATCACTGTTTCAAAATTCAAAAGATTTAAAGAGTATTTTGTTGGTTGGATAAATTACCAAGGTTTTAAAACACCAGGCTGCAACTAATAGTAGCAAATAAACAGTGACAGTTGCGTGCACTGCGAAAACGGTTCAAGATACCCAAAATAATATATAACAATTATTCTTCTTTACCAAATTAAAAAAGGGCCACGACGGTACTTCTATGATAATCAATATGGTCGAAATATTTTATATGGCAAAAGAACGTTTGTCAGGACAGCTAGTTAATTTCCTAACTTATAATCCAACACATACGCATCTCACAGTAAACAATAAGGCTAATACAATTATTCATTGTTTCAGGTCAACGCTTCGCAATGCAAGAGATGAAGTACATTCTAAGCGACATCATCCGCCATTTTAAGCTGATCCCGAAGCAGAAAGGTTATCGCCCAAAGCTTATCGCCGATCTTGTGTTACGAGCTAACGAACCTATTTATGTTAAATTTGCTTTAAGATAGTTTAACTTTACTTTTAATTATAAGCATATGTATGATAATGCTGTTTTATTACTTGAAAGTGTTAAAAACGAATGTTCAGCTTAAGTAAAGTGTATTTTTTCCACATTGGCAAAGCCGATTTCACACCATAGATAGTGATACCCTTTCATAGAGTTGTTGCCACACATAACATAGGATTAAAGTTATATGCATTATATATGAACCTAACGACCTCAATATTCAAAATCACTTTTATGACCACTTATTATTTATTATTATTAAATGTTTTATGTCAATATTATTTATCACGACGTTTGTAATGTCATTGACTTTGCTTACCCTCCATCTTTATTTAAATGTCAAAGAATGGCAAAATAAATTTTAATCTGTGCATTTACGTAAATTCATTTTTATGATTTTTATTAATTTTAGCATGAAATTGTGGTATTTACTAAGTAAATTTGAGGTAGTTCATTAGTTTAATATATGATCCAGTGCCTCAGTGTTTTTAGTGTGAATCAATGTAAACCTTGTGAGAACCTTTACAAAAAATACTAAGTAAGAAAAAATACAATTTAGGTACATTTCTTTATTTCCTTTTGTATCGTTGTGTTGCCCTTTCAGAAGAGACCTTCAATCAAAGAGCACTCATTCTCCCACCCATCTCTATTCCACCAGTTCCTAAACTCTGGGTACGTCGTGGTCCTCTGCATCTCTTCTTTATCATTCAAAACAGCGCAGATCTGACACACCTGACTCTTTCTTGAGACGTGGCGGTACGAGAGGTAGTTTGTCCATTTAAAATAATTGTGATAGTACTCGCGATGTTTATACGCCTTGTGCATCAATCTAGCTACTTCAGCGACACCCAGTTCTCGAATGTTCAAATAGCTATCTGGTGGAAGGAATCTGAAAAGCGTTTTAATATTCAAGTCCTGTATATTAGTGTGATGCAAAGCTAAAGGGCAATGACCTCGCAGTAATTAATTTTAATCGGGACTAATCTTTTGAGCATATTAAAAGATAACTACAAAGCCCTTTTTTGAACTCCATCTTGTTTTTGCTTATCTACACATTGATTATAATCGGCTATTCTGTAGCAGACATGGCTGGATGTAGGTTGAGACTGTCTTGCTTTAAGAGATATTTATAAATTTGAGTAATTTTACAAGTTAAAAGCGTAATAGATAAAAACAGATTAAATATTTTAAACTTTCAGCGGATATTAAATCAAGCTTTTATATTGCGCCGAGCGCACCGGTTATTAGTTTAAATCGTGTTTTTCTGTCATAAAAGGGAAGCATAGAGTTCACATGAGAGTTTAATTAACTAGAGAGGTAAAATGTCTGGAGTATAAGCCCTATAACAACCTACGTAGGCTTAAACATTCAAATATCTGCTTGTACTGTTGATCGAAGAGAACACACAAACTTCAATGCTGTATCATAAAAATTGTTTTGAAATCGCCTGTTACTCACAAAATAAACCCGGCTTAACTTTTACATGTTTAGTATGAAGTTTACTAGAGAATAAATAAAAAGCAATTAAAGTCGGAAACTCCACTCTAAAACAATATAAGATTTTGGCGAAATATTTCATCCAGAATGAGATCAAGGAATTTCTCGTTCGCTACAAAATGTAAGTTAGAGCAATAAAAATCTCGGAGCTCTATTAAACCGCAAAGCTTCCATGTTAAATATTATTTTATGGTATACTGGAAGATATTATCAGTACACTATTTTAGATTAGAAAGAGATAATAACTTGTTTGTTATTTATTTTTATTTTTTATTTTTTATATTTCATTTTTAAAGTTTCATGGTACTTAATAACTTTTGTTTTATGGAAATAGTTCGGCTACGTTAAGTGGGTTTAAATTATATTTTAATACACACAGTTGAATTTGTATATGACTATGAATTGAAATTATATAAGAACAAAATGATTGACAGGGTACTGTCTATAGTTTACGCAAGTAGTACGCATTTAAATAAAACACTTTAACGGTTTATATATTAAAATGATTTTTAACTTAGGCACGACGTTTCGGATGCTTTGCAAAGCATCGGTTCAAAGCAGTGTTTTAAACCGTTATAGGGGTTTCCATATTACATATCATAAAACTTTTATAGGTATTGTCATCACATTAAGAAAGCAGAAATTAGAACCGAAAAGTCGAGACATATTTAAAAACTAAAAATTTAACTATATACCATTCTTCGCTTTTTAAACAAGTACTATAGATTTGTTTTCGATTGCGTAGATTAAAGATCAAAATATGAAGTTTATCAGAGTAAGCGGATAAACATAGTAAGTACTTTTCAATGAGTGTCGTTAATTTCTTCTATGCGATCTCTACCCAGAATACTTTATACTACTAATTACCTGGAATAGTTCGCTCCGCCATAAACGATAGGCACGGCATAATTATTCAAAGCTAGCAATATTTTCTCAGTCACATAGTCCTCAGCAAAGGAATTCTCAAATGCCAAATAAAAAAAATACTCATCTTCGATCTTTACATTGCATAGTTGAGCGTATCGCCTTGGACAGGCATATTTACCACAATCTCCGTACACATCAATAGACCAGCCGTATCTCTTCAGCAACTCCTCGTCAAGTTCGCGAGCTACCACCTCCCTAGCGCTCATAGTTTCGCACTTGGAGACAAACCATGCTGCGATTTTCTGTTTACTTTCTAACCGGGTCTTTAAATCATCATCTATTTTTTCGAAATTAGACCAAACATCTACTGGAGGTCCGATTCTGATTTCATTGGAATCGTATATATCGAAGAACCAAGACCTAAAGTCTGAGTTGAGTTTGTAGGTGAAGGTCCAATTGAAGAAGTCGTCATACATATCGTTACACACAGGGTGATATTGGGGTGATTCAATAGAAAAGAAGGCGTATTTCTGATGCGGTGAACGTATTTCTGGTACAACGACTTCTTGGAGATCAGGCGAGTTGAATGCTACCATGTCGAAATCGTCTTCATTTAAATGGGATTTGTTGTATGTAATGTAACAGTTGGTGTAATCACATTCGTTATCAACGAAAATTGTGTTATCCTTATTGAATAGAGTGAAGGGGAATTGCAAATCTGCTTCAGATGTCGTTAGAAGAATAAACTTTATACTCTCTTCAGTTGATTCCGTGTCATAAGCACTTTCCTCTTCACTTATAAATTCATACAACGCTGGTTCTTTTGTTGTGTTTCCTGTATCTTTAATTTCTAATTTATCAATTTTTGTATCTCTATAATCCAATAAATAAACTATTTGTAGGAGTTCATAAACGCATACTGCTGTAAGCATTAAAAGTATTATCTTTTTCACTTTTCTTTTACTTACTATCATCATTGAGATTGCTAAAACTTATTGAATAAGGTTGTAATTTAAATAAAAATTATTAATTAAGTTTCACTTATACTTTTAGCTTTTAAATCCTTATACAATGACAAATGACAATACAATGACAAATGGCATTAAAATTGTCACTTAGATATTTCATATAACTTTATTTTGATGAAAACTCTTTTTAATAATAGATTATAATTGATATAAACTGTTGGGTACCGTCCAAAATTAATCTAGCAAAACGATATTAAGATCTACGTCGTAGTCCTGAAATTTATCATAGCATGTCGTTTAAATGAGTAACACTTTTAATGAAAAAATTCAAATCTTAAAAAATTGACCATCAGACGATCTTTTTTACTTTGAAAATTCACTCTCTGAAAAATTTCACCCATAAGACGAAAATAAAAACGTTACGAGAGAGTAGTACTGAATAGTGGTTTTTTCATCCTACAATTTCTATTAATGTCCTTTCGAATACCAGATAATGAGGCTGTTTGGTGGAAACTAGTTAATAAGGTTTGCCACAGTTACGTAATACAACATCAATCAAGAGAGAAATTGATATGAAATCAATAATGGTGTTGAGTGATTGGCGTTATTGTTGATATTCCAGTGAATTTTGATAAAGGCATTGTTATGTTACAGCGTAATGACGTTAAAAAAACCATATTGTTGACCGCGCCGTGTTCGATTCGTTAAACATCACAGATTTGATTCTTATTAAATATTCATTTAAGTACTGTCTATAGTTAGGAGTTACAATATAAAATCTTTAACTTTAAAACCATATATATATTTTTGAAAATATTTAACTTTAATATATTTTTAACCTTAAAGTTTTTATTTAAATAATCAAATTCCATTTAAAGGGCGGATGGTGATATACTGAAAAATAGCAAGGATCTTCTATCAATCATATCAAGTCAAATAGTGTCTGGGGAACATAATACATTTAAACAATTTTATTAAGCTGGCGTAATGCTAGTTCAACATCAAAACTTTACGAACTCTGAGGCTAGATTGCTAGCAGGTCTAAAGTAACTTTGAAATCCAATACCGAAGAGGAATCTTGTTAAAGTCTGAACATTTAAACCGTTTGTTCTCCGTATATATGCTAAAAGAGACGAATTCAAAACCTTCCAGGATTTAATTATATTTATTTTGAACTTGAGTCATATTACTTACAGTTTTTATAACATTCACTACTGTTTACAATTTACTATATTTTACGACGAGGGCAGGATTCGAACTTACCACAGTCATAATGATGTGCTGTTGCTTTATCAACTTAGCTACTATGTTACCAGTAGAACGCTGAATCTATCAAAAGCAACGAATATGAGGACGACCCTCATACATTAATGTATTATACGATGTTGTAGACTTTCTAACAACCATCAAAAACAACTAGTTAGCAATATTAAAACCATTCAAACAGCGTTCGTAAAATCCAATGTCGAAAACTGGGAATAAAGAAATAAACTCACACATAATTGCATTGTCAAAGCCAAAATAAGTCGACAGTGCAAATTGTTTAGACGTTATATATGGCTAGGATTTTTAACTTCCATCAAAAAACACATGCTTGTCCGTTCTTGTCTATCGTAAAAATTGCATTAAGTACAAGAGGCCCGTCTAATCAATCACTTCCTTGTAGTTATAAATATATTTCCAAAATTGGTAAGCCATAAGAGGGATAGTGGATTTCAGTTTGTGTAAGCAACGGGTTAAAATTTATCATATTGCCTCGTACGAGGGGCAAAAATAATTAGTAGATATTAAACCTGAGACAAGCTTTTAGCATATCACTTCCGCGATCCATTATACAGTTAGGCTACACAACAATTACGGAGGTTTGAATAGCGTGGAAATATGATATACAACGTTTAAGTAAAATCTTCATAACTTTATTTCTGCTAACAAAATATATATAAGTAGATTTATTATAATATAGCCTATACTATATTATAATAAACCTACCTATATTATAATAAACTAGGGACCCGTCCCAGCTTCTCTCGGGAGGAATGCTGATACTAAATGAAAACTACTTAACTACAGAAAAACTGCGAATGTTGTATATTATAACGTTCCACTTGAATGACCCGATCTATTTAAAAAACCGCATAAAATCCCTTGCGTAGTTTTAAAGATGTAAGCGTACATAGGGACAGCAAAAGTCGACTTTGTTTTATACTACGTAGTAAAGATGTCTGTAGATTTTGCAAGTAGTACACATTAAAAAACTATTTAATAATGCTGCAAAGCATCCAAAACGCCGGGCTGTAGTTTAAATAAATTGTAAATTAGTTTGGTAACATATTTCGTATTTTAAACCGTTAGCGTATTTTATTTAAATGTACCGCTCCCGTAATCTACAGGCAGTACTTAGCCCCGCTCTTGTTTTAGCGATCTCAAGGCTTCACTCCCAGTGAGATGTGAGAGATAAATAGATATAGGAGATAAGATACAAGTTCTAAAATTATTTATCTTTCTCTTTAGTTACTTATAAGTAAAAATAGACCCGGTGAATTATTTAGTTATTAAGGCCTAACAGAAAATTTAAAGTCACCTTGAGAGTACTTTAAGATTGAATAGATGATAAAAATATTAGCTCGGAGTCTCGCACCAACAAAGAGTTTTAACCTTATTTTGCTGGAAATATTCTCTTTATTTTCGCTAAGACATTCTTTGAAAGCTGGGTATTGAGGCTTTTCAAGTAGAGCGCGAAATAAAATTACTCAAAGTCATACAATAAAAAAATATTAAATTGTGGGAAATATAAAATAGCCTTATGGAGAACTAGCTATGTCAGCGACTTCGTCCGCGCAGAATAGTTCTTTTGGGCGTCACATTTAGGCTTCGCAAACCTCCTTTATAAATCATCTTTCTAAAGTTACCCACGACGTCGTCCACGTCGCGTCGTTGCATTTTAAATGATAAACATATAGTGTCGCGGATTCTTCAAATCATTATTATTATAGTGAATTTCGCTTTAATTTTACTACACAGGGCATTAAAATAACGAACCGTTATTCGTCCGAAACTTGTCTGTAATATAAAATGTAGTATACATAATTTGACAAAAGATAAATGCCTAAAACGTTTTTTGTCTTTACAATAATCAGCTTAACAATTATATTACCAAATTAAACGAAATACAAAAATACTGTCTATAGTTTACGCGAGTAGTACACATTTAAATAAAACACTTTAACGGTTTAAAACGCGATATATTAGTTAAACTTATTTGAAAATGATTTTTAACTTCGGCCCGACGTTTCGGATGCTTTGCAGCAGCCGTGGTCACGGGGAGACCCGGGTCAAATTAAAAATCATTTTCAAATAAGTTTAACTAATATATCGCGTTTTAAACCGTTAAAGTGTTTTATTTAAATGAAATACAAAAATTTCAAAATCGTTAGTAGCCAAAGTAGGCAAAACGTTGGTTGGCAAGTGCTATTGCAATGTTGCAATTTTCGGCAAAAATGTATGATCCCACTAACAGCAACATGGGATTTTGTGTATTTGTTCAATTTAGAGTATATACACAGTAAATACATACTTTGTGTTAGTATATTTAAAAACCCATAATTCTGTACGACGCATTCAGTGTTCAAGTTGTTTCTACGTATGGTTTCACAAAGGTCAGCCTATCTCAAAGTTAGGTTCATAATTTAATTTTGGTATGTTTTGAAACGAGCCTAAATGTTTTGAAACTGGTTTATTGTTTATACTTTATTTATTAACATCACTTATCCTTTCAAAATTTTAATTTATAAAATGCTATAAAACAATAACATGTGAAAATTTTCAACATATAAATAAAAAATCTAAATATTTTTAAATAAAACACTTTAACGGCTTAAAACGCGACATATTAGTTAAACTTATTTATATTAATCGCGTTTTAAACCGTTAAAGTGTTTTTATTTAAATGTGTACTACTCGCGTAAACTATAGACTGTATCTAAATATTTTTATAATTTATTACTTGTTTTGGCAATAAATAAATTATTAAACGAGAAACGACCAACCATTTTAATCAAATCAAATCAAATCAAAAATCATTTATTCATGTAGGTAGCTTAGTACACTTATGAACGTCAAAACAGGTAAAAACTTAAGATTCTAAATTTACAGTTACTACCAGTTCCCAAGTTAGGGCGTAGAACGAACGAGAAGAACTGGCAAGAAACTCGCCGCCACTCCTTTTAATTGCCAAGTTTTTATTACATTTCCTTATATTCCTTACGCACTCATTGTGTACATTTCTTCCTTGATAGAGCGGGTTCCTCCATAGCCCAAACATTTTTATCATTTAAATATTAATTTACGTTATAATAACCCTTTCCAAGCAGTTTTTGTTTAACAAACGATTTAAACTTATTTATTGACAGCGTTTTTACTTCACTAGGGATGATATTAAAATACCTCTGTTGAGGTTTGAAATAACCTTTCTACAATTTTGAAGGTACTACATTAACGTTCATTATAGGTATGCGTTGAAAAAGTGTAATATACATATTTCTTACGCAATTTTACGAATTAACATAAAATATCTCTAATTGTTGTATAAATAATATTGTTATCTATACACACTTTATTATTTTCACATTACTCCTTTTATAAATCGTAAAAGAGCGTTTGAATTTGAAACATGAAAGGTGTACAACCAAAAAGTAGAAGTAACTTATAAAGAGTTTGCTCTACTGCTACGAGTTATTCAAAGGTTAAAAATAGTCTGTAAACATTTTAAATTTAGAATCTGGTTCAAAACAACCCACCCTGTTAAATGCACAATGCAACAATGTGCCTCATGGTTCAACTAAACTTTCGCTATAATACGGACGCCTTAGAATTTAACATTATTAATTCAAGTGCAATCTAAGCCAGTCACGGGTAGAGAACACGTGATCTTAAGAACCTCTCAGTGTGTCACGTGTTATATGGGATACAGATACATTACCGGGAAATTAAGTGCACGGCTCATGTGT